TGCAAACCGGTAAGTGGGTACAAAGTACAGTTTGTTTTACTTGAGTGCTTAGCTTAATAAATTTTCATTTTTTTTTTTTTTTTTTTTTTTCGGAAAAAAAATAAAGGTTTTATTATTTAACATATAAAAACTCTCACTATTTTAAAAACAATTTAATGATTAAAATAACAACTACTTATTTAATTAAATGCAATATTGTTTTCTGCATATCTTTGTTTTTATATTTCATTGATTGCTTTGCGAAATTGAACAAAATGTAGAGTTTGTAAATCTCGACAAAATGTTAACACTAACTTCAACAATACTAAATATTGTGAGGATTTCTAGTTTATAAAATGATTTTATTGAAACAATTTTTCAGAAAATTAGACTCAAATCTACTGCTATCACTTGTTCTTTCCAAGCCTTTTAAGCTAGTGTGGAAAGGTTACATCTTGATTATATCATTATTTTCTCTTCTACTTAGATGTACTACCCATTTTAGTGGTTGCAGCTGTTGATGTTCAATTGCTATTTTTTGTTTATAAAGTTCTTTGTGATTGTTTAGCACTAATCTATACAGTTGAGATGTATCTTAAGGCCTAAAGGATTCATTCACGTGAAGCTCTATGGTAAATGAACCAGCTTCAGTTCATTCCTAGCCACACAAGGCAATACAGGTGATTCTAATTTCTAAGCAGGTGTGCCCTCAAATGCTTTTCTTATTGATCAAAGAAGAGAAAACAAAAACAAAGAAACCTCTTTTCTTAGAGAAAAGCTTAAATGAGAATTTAAACAAAAGAAATCTACAATACAAAAACATACAACAAAAACTAGTTCAGTTCTTTGAACAAATCTTGAAATATTAATGCCTCTTTAAAAAATTACAAATAATTAGACAATCTCCACAACCACCATAGATCATAGATGATCATTAAAAATGTTAATGAAATTTTATTCTTGGCTGATATCAAATGAGCATTTAGAAAACTCTATTAAGAATTGTGATGATCAAATATGTCAAAGTAATAAACTAAACTTATTTAACTTCTAAAATCATTGACTTAAACTTAAGTCAATGAATAAAGAAAAGAACATATATATATATATATATATATATATATATAATTAGTGTGTGTGCCTACACACACAGGTGTAAAAAGTTTTTGTGCAATGTTTATGGTGAAGTCCCAATGAAGAAAATTTGTCACACAAAAACCTTTCTGCTTTGTCTTTAAAATCGTTCTTGATACACAAAAATTTATATCATTTTCCTATATATATATATATATATATATATATATATATATATATATATACACACACACACTGTTTATCTATAATTTTGATATGTATATAAAATTTACTAAGCATATACAATAAAGTTAAATGCAGACCTTGTGGGTCGAATTTAACAAAAACTTGTTTATATGAATTCTTGTTTCCTAACTATACTTTATATATTCATTCATTGGGGTGCTGAAATGTTCTCACTCCAAGCAAGAATGGATTTAAAATTTATGATCTTTAGTCATTTGGTAAGATTGTAAGAAGTGGGTCAGGACAAGAACTTTTCAGCACTTCCACCATTTATTATTGGTACCTGGTTTTTATTCTATTTCCCAAATACTTTTTTTACTCTTGGAGTGTCTATAATCTTTTAAGTATATTCTATTTTAGTTCTGTTTTAACTTTTAGCATTTCATTTGGAGAGGGTGCAGGTATCCTTGTTTCCTCAATATAAATTTTAAGAAATGAGAGGAAAAAAAAAAATAACCTGAAGTTGTTAAAATTGCTTGTCATCTTCAAAGTTTTTAATACTTGTCTTTCTTAAGGCAACAAATGTAAGTTTGAATTGGCTCCCTAAATTTTATTTTATCTGCTTGGAACAATTCAAAAATCAGGTAGTAAGCAGATGAATCTTAAGGAATTATATAGTGCAATAAATAAATTGTCCAAGTTACACAAAAGTGATAACACTGGCATCTCATTTTAACATTTTTGTATAATTTTGGTTAATATATCTTGAAATATGAAAGAGTAAATTTATTCAATAAGATCGCCATTAGCTTCAACCATGGCCTTCAAACAACTTCAGAATCTCCTGCAACTCTTCTGGACAATCTCCTTGTTTAAGTTGGTGAATGCTGCCATAAACCTTAAATTCATTTTATCTTTGGTGTTACAAGGAGTTTTGTTGGTCTCTTGCTCAACTGTGCCCAACACATAATTGGGTTGCAGTCTGTTCTGTTGCCAGAACTTCTTGACCCAGGGCAACACTACTTCCTCAAGGTACTTTATGTAGGCCTCTATGTTGAGCCTGAGGCCCTTACCAACAAATTTGGTAGTTCTTATCAGAATGATTACAGTGAGGTGTTTTTTTTGTTTTTTTTTCTAAAGCAACTCTACCTTCATAATCACCATTAGACTCATCCAACTCTTTCCAAATCCTCTGCACTGTCCTCAGATTGACACCCAAACACTCTGAAATGTTCATATTGGAGCTTGCAGCACAAATGCCAAGTAGTACAGCATGCTGTTTCCAAGTTTCTGGAGGAGTCAATTGTGACATGGTGCTCTTTTTCTCACAAATAGTGCCCAACTGACTCTACTATACTGTGCAGTTGACAAAATCAAAAACAAACATTGTGCATGGGTGAAATTAAAAAATATAAAATGGCAACAATTTGGCTATCACATACTGTGTGTGTGTGTATATATATATATATATATATATATATATATATATATATATATATATATATATATATTATGTATGTGTAGTGTTCCATTGAATAATATAGGCATATTATATCTTTTTATACTGATCTTTTCCAATTCTCTAATATTGATGTATAAGGAAACTGACCAGATATTAGTAAAAATGGCATTAAATGTTTGTTATATGCAGATTTTATCAGTTACAATGTTTTAGTAATTCACTCCTAAGGATGATCTTGGAGGAGATTGAAAGTACTTGGGTAGGAAAAAACTATGGCACCTTTCTTGATGAATTTCATCTTGTCATCAAGACCCTGATTAGTGAACTAGAAAGGATTAATATAAAGTCTATATTATTCAGTGAAACCTGTTTTGTATGAAGATATACTACACACTAATAATATATATATATATATATATATATATATATATATATATATATATATATATATACACACACTTGGTAGTAGACTTTTTTATTTGGAATTCATTAAAAGTAAAAATATCTAAATAATGCTAACAAAAAAAAACAATATATTACCAACCTGATTCCCCTACTTACGAATGAGATCCTCAACAAAAAGCATTAAGTAATTCCTCCTCTTATTATGACTGAAATAGAGCAGATAGGGATGCATGACACTATATAACGTTATTGTGTTTTAGTAAATGAGTAATTGTCTAAATCTTGGATTTTTACAGACGTAACTTTAATTGGGGAAATCTGTATATCTTGTTCAATTCAAAGTTAACTTCTTACAGATTACATTTTTTTTTTTAAAAACTCTTTGCAAATCCTGATTTGGTCAACTTAGCCCCAAATTAACTCTTTAAAGCATCAAGCTTATTTATCTGTTATGTAGCCATATAATTTCATGCATCCATTTCACAACAAATTTTATAACTTAAAATCCTCTGATTTCTCTCACCTTGAAAAGTTGAAAATGTATTTTCCAGTTTTAGTTGACATGATTTTAGTCTTAAATTTTTCTTTCTATGAAAAATTGATGTAATCACAGAATTAATACTTTTGTCAATATAACAGAACCAAACAATAAGTGTACTCACAAGTGTGTGGGTCCAATATCCAATTTTTGTAATAATGCATTTGTAAACTTAGTTTTGACTACAGACTATGATAAATTAAAGGTAGAATTTTTAAAAATTAATAAACTGCTGTTTTTTAGAAATTCATGTTTCAACTTCCATGGTTCACTTTACACTGATTGCATCTCAGCTTCAGTCACTTTCCCAAAACCATAATGTAGCTTCCCTGTGACTTTTTTCCAGATATTTTCATGGTAATTGTTCTGATCAGTTTTCCTCTTTGCTACTTGAACTTTATGAATTTAAGCACAGTCCTAGATTGGTGGCAAGTTCCCATCATTTTACAATTGAAATGGCTAAATGTAACCTAAGTTCTATGTTAACGGCTTTGCACTTCTCGCTTGTGAAACTCTCTTCTGGCTTCATGCTTTCCAATCAACTTTGCATCTAAATTTTTGAACATCAAAGTCATTCATTATCTTCAGTCTTAATTCCTCTTTTATTGTTTTTCTTTTTCTTGTATTCCTTCACATTCAGTAATCTTTTGCATCTTAGTGGCTTTATTGCCTTGTGTGGGGTGAAACGATTAAAAAAAATGTATGGGAAACTATATATAAATCTGTATATATCGAAAACAATATTTTGTGAATAAACTATGACAGTGAAAAAAGGTTTTGTATGTGTTTTGTCCTTTAGGACTTTATCAGACTAAAGTGAGGTTTACGTTGATGTGACTGTATAAATGCACAAAGGAAAGGAGACGCTGAGAATTTAAATCCTTATTTTTTTTATTTAATTAAAAACAAAACTAAAAAAAAATTACATTCGATAAAAAAGAAATTAACAATTTTCTTTTTATTATTGCTTCATATTATCATTGCATATCCAGGCAATCATGTATATTTCAATACATGACTGACAAGGCAGATTTCCAGTTGCCATCCAAGGCTATAGAACCCAGTCTGTCCCCGCTATTTACCCATAGCTGGAGGTACATAAGTGAATATAATGGATTCATCTGGAATTTGAACTCTGCTCTCCAATTCCTCAATCCGAGCCGCTATTCATTACTCTACTGTGCCGAATACATGAGTATCCCAAAGAAGGATCCTCCTCACTTTTCTGGATTCTTGGCAAGCTATTTATCATGTCATTTATTTACTCAATTGTCCTTTTGCTCAACTGTTGCTTTTTGCCATTGCCAATATATTACTGAATATTATTTGTCTTTCTTTTTTTTCCCCACTTTCCAGTGAAATGGAACCACATGGTCCAGAAACTACCTCCACTGACCTGCCCCAGATGAGCAGCATGGAAGAACAAGATAACCCTTCGTTCACAGAGGATGAGGTGTTTGGGAATGACCACTCTCCACGGCCAGCGGCCAACACAAATGGCATCAGGCCAGATGTGATGATTGAAGTAAGCAACAGTTCACCAGCCATGGATCCTTATAGGAACCAAAGCTCCAGCACTCTTGCCGACATTGATGTCGATACACCAGGTAATTCTATTTTCATTATTACTTGTTCTACTACTATTGTTGGGCTTTAAAAGCACCAAAATCAGTTAAAAGAGTGTTTTAAAAACTTTTTTCTTTTAATGGTCCACTTTCTAGCCTTGACAGTTCCAAATTGTGGATGCAGCTTTGTGGAGTGGGGTATAATTTATTTTTTACCCTACATGCTTACAGCCATATCATTTTAAAACACTAGTTCTCATACAATCACTGAAGTTAATGTTGACCCTAGATAAGTGACCCCACTTGGGAATGCCATGTGCTATAAGCTTGGATGTGCCAGTGGTGCAATGGATAACAGCTTAGAGTTGGAAATTGGAATCATGAGTTTCAGTTAGAATCCTTCACTTATGTGCAAATGCCGTTGGGAAAGATATGAATCCACCTCTTCTCCCTCCAGCTATGTGTTAGTAGGATTTGCATTGGTAAATCATTGTGACACTTTAAGGGTTAAAAGGATAGTTCAATGGCTATACCAAGAGAGATGTGACCCTTTAAGGGTTGAAAGATCGATAAACATACCCTGAGTCAAGACCAGATTTTATTAAATTCAGAGGGTTTTTTTTATCTACCTTAGATAAAGACGGGTGGCGGGGGGATGGGTAGGTACAGAAACCTGATTTTTTTTCTACAAAAAATATATGGCTGAAGTTAACAACTGACTAGGAAATGGCAACACTAAAGTGTTTAAAGTCCAGGTTATGAAATTATCTGCTGGCTAAAACCCGGTCAAGATAAAAATGGTGTTCTGGAAACAAAGGCATAGTTAAAGAATTGTTTTTCTTTCCTTATCACTTGTCAAAAGAGGCGGTGTAAAAGCCAAAATGGAGACACTAATGTTTTTAAAATCCAGGATATGGAATTATCTGCTGGCAAGGAAAGTCAGTTAAGAGGTGATATTTAGGGTTTTTGAATTGTTTGTTTTTTTGTTTGTTTTTTTTTTTATCAAAAAAGGGAAGGTGTAAATCACTGAAGTGGTGACATTTCTTTAGATAAGGGCAGAGGTGCCACAAGAGGCTGTCAGGGTAACGGTTGGTGAGTGTCTGATTAAAAAGGCAGAAGAGGGAGAGGAATTCTGTTTGAAAATTTGGGACATTAATTAAAATTAATAATTGGAGCTAAGCCATGCCTGCTTGTCTATGCTGTCTAGAGATTCGATTGGTCAGGTGACCATATAAGTGAAAGGCCTGGGTAGAAGACCAAGGGTGGCGGAGGAATTGCCTACATCACTTGGGCAGTATTGATATGAGGCACTAATACAAGGAGTAAGGGTGGATCAATATTCCACTACTCGAAGGAGGAGGGATCTCTCTTCCCAGTGTCAAAGAAAGAACTGTGTGGAAATTAGGAGAACCCTCCAAAATCCCAAACGATGTCAAACCCTATGCCAGTTTAGAACGAAAATCCATATAAACAGAAGATTGAAATGACAACCACAGAGAGAAACCACCAGACAAGAGACAACCGTTTCACCGAACTCATGTGACTGAAGATCTCCGACTTTGCGCTGTGTTCCCAAAGCCTTGTCTAGACTTAGCCACGATGAACAAAGTGTCACAAAATATTCAAAGAAGGGATGGGTTGAATAAGTTTTCATAACAAATATATTCCTGCATGAAGGACATATATTTCTGCCTGAAAAAACTGATATTGTACCATCAGCTCTGTGCAAGAAACGATATATAAAACATATTCTTTATTACAATTTATCCTATGATTTGTGGTTTCATTTTGTCCAGATCAATTCAATGATTCCTGTCAACAATTTGATCCTCGCAAGCCTTGTGATCTGGATCAAGCACAACATGAGTAAGGCAAGGCTTGGATTGAAGTGATCTATTTAAGTCAGCCATGGGAATAGAACCTCAAATGGACCTGCTGGTCAAACGTCTCAACATCATAATTATATCCAAAACATTCTTAGTCTAAAAATATTTTCTGGCTTTAAATAATGTGCAAAAGGTTGCTAACGTGTAAAATAAAAAAAATTCAATAAAATCCACTCTGGCTTACAGCACATCACATTACATTGAAATACTGTTTCCTGTATGGTCACCAAATTTATGTAATGCCACGCCTTGTTAGTGTCTAGGTGAGTGGACATTTGAGAATACCAGATGCTATAAGGTTGGATGTGCTGGTGGAGTATAATGGCTTGGAATTGTTAATCAGAGCTGAGTTCCAATTCCAGTTTGGTTCGTTATATTCACTTAGGTGACTCCACCACTTCTCTTTCAGGTATCGGTTAATTACTAACACTTGTCTCACTAAATCATTATCTCAAAAAAAAAAAAAAAAACTGTCACAATCTGAAAATATTTTCTGGCTTTAACCTGCAATGGGTCGATAAACCATAGAAAATAATCAAATCAATGAAATACTGATTAGCTACACAGATATCTTTTAGATTTATTTACATTCTCTGGAATGTAAATTTATAGAAACTACCATGGCTACAAACTAAGAGATCAGTTTAAATATTGATTATGATATAGAATTGATCCCCTACTTTATATCCACATTATAATTTCTTCTTTATCAAACACTGATTAGGTATGAATTGACCTATCTCCCCCCCCACATCACCAGCTATAGGTTAATTAATAAAAGTTATATCACTAAATCATTATCTCAAAAAAAAAAAAAAAAAAAAAAATCCTCACAATCTAAAAGTATTTTCTGGCTTTAAATCACCTGCAAAGGGTTGATAAGCCATAGAAATTGAATCAAATCCAGCCTTTACTGCCCCTTTTCCACAGAAACCCTGTTACTCTATTGCTACTTTCATGACAAATGTTCCGATAAGCTCCATTCTTTAGTGTCACCAGTTCAGGCTTTTACAGCCAAGACCCGCCTTGCCATGTCCACAGTTTTGAATCACCATTCCCCATGTATCTCTTTGGTAAGAAGGACCTTCTACTATGGAAACTTTTCCCCCAAGAACCACTACTTTGTGGAACACTCTTGTATAGATGCTTCCCCCAAACACTACAGTGTTAACCTCTTCAAGTCTGGAGTTGATTTTTTTTTTTTTTGTTTTTAATTGCTCTAAGTAATTTTAACTCTTTACTATCTTTCCTTGTTCTGTCTTCATACAAACTTAACCATGTTACTCAGTTTCCTCCTCTCTTACCTTTAATATATTCTGTGAGCTTTACATTTTCCAAGCCCTAGGTCTGAATCAAATATGTCTATCAGGAATCTTTGATCTCAGAAGAGTTGATCCGTGGTGACCCCAATATGTAATGGATTCATCCTAAGCTTTGTATTCAGTGTTACCTCAGAAGGTTGAACTACAAGGTGACCTCAAAACTACTAATTGAAGAACCAAAGGACACTAATATGAAAAAGGAAGTCAACCCAGCTGAACTCGTGATGTGTGAGTATACACACACACACACACACACGCCATGAAGTGTAATATACACCTGACCCACAAGGAAGAAGAATCCCTCATACCATTAAAATAAAATAAAGTGGTTCCAAGAAAGTCATGAAAGTACAAACCATCGATTCAGCTGACATTAGAAATGTTTCATCTCACTAGGATTTTTAGTTTCATTCAGTTTGTCCTGTTGAACTTTGAGATCTAACCACTTGCTGATTCACTCTCCCTGGACAATTTCAAAAGAGGCAGATCCAAAAGATCAAATTAGGTGTGAAGAGCTGCAAATAGCTAGTATAAAGTTGCTCATATGAATAGCCTCCTTCTACTTGTGTGCCAAACTATGTAATTCTTTTGTGTATTGGTTTCAATTTGAAGCTAAACAATTTTAATTTTATTTCTCTGACTAGATGGGGGGGTACTTGGAAACACTGAGTATTGTTAGCAACTGCCTACAATCTGAAATGTTTCAACTTTAACCCACAAAGTATTAATAAGCTGTCAAAAACAAATTGATCAATGAATCTTTCTCTGAAATATTAGTGATATTGATTTTCATTAAAGACGTGCATTTTGAACAATGTTCCTGAACCAGTTATAGTGCAACCTCTAGTTACTGTGTTAAACTTGGACTTTATAGTTATACACCAAATCTCAAAGGAAAAGTACATCTTCAAAGGAAATTACATAACAGGGCAGTAGCTGTGATTGGGTCATACTAGTTCATGGAATGTTATTCTACACTTGGTCTTGAGAGACCCTTAATAATTTAGAGGAAAGGAGTAGGTATTTGGAGAAAAATATGGGAGTGTGGTTAATCAGATCAGTCTGATGAAAAAATAGTTTCAAAATATTAATTTAAGTCCATAAAGTACTTATGAGGATGGCCTTGGAAGAATTTGAACTCAAATTAAACTAGGATTCTGTATAACTGACACCATCCCCCTGGCCCAACTCCATAACCACATGGAAGTTGACATGACTGAGTTTTCCAAAAGTTCACTTGTTTTGGCGCACTCTAGGGTTTGTTTAATTAGCGACCTATTTGTCAGATTTATGTTAATTTCAATGTAATTTTGGGAACTTAAAAATACAGGCCAAAATCAAAAAGCATTTTATGGTTGGCCATCTGATTTTTCTGACAGGAAGTTCTTGGTTCAAAAAGCTAATTAATCATGTCCAGTTCAGGCCTGGAAGCCTTCATAAGCAAAATATGCATGTGAAGGAGAGATAGAGGCCAGCTAGTTGCCCAGAAGCAAGTGCCTTGCAGAGGAGATGCTCTCATAGGGTTTCACCCAATTCCTTCATCAGCTGTAGAAGTCAATTATTGCCAAGGTGTTAGCACTTGTGTATCTTTTAGCAAGATAGAAATTGGAGTGAATTTGCTGTTGTGCAATTTTTACATTTCATCCAGAATCAAATTGTTGATAATTTTTCAACAGCATAATTTCTTTTGTCGGCATGTTGTACCTTTTCAGCAGGATTTCCTAGCATTGAAGAAGCAGTACAATCAGATTTTTTTCCAAGACCAACAAAAAATCCACAGCTTGTGAATTCCTCACAAGTAGACACGACAATAAAAGATGATACGTCTTGGTGAAGGAAAGAAGCCACCTGCATCAAAGTGTAGCCTACTTTCCAAGTATGGTA